GGAGTGGTGGGGGGTGGGAGATATGGGGTGGCTGGGTGATAGACATTGAGGAGGGTATGTGCTATGGTGAGTGCTGTGAATTGTGTAAGACTGTTGAATCACAGACCTGTACCTCTAAAACAAATAATATTATATGTTAAAAAAATAAAAAAAAGGAGATAGTATGAAGGGAAAAATGAAGGGAGGGAAATCGGAGGGAGAGATGAACCATGAGAGACTATGGACTCTGAGTAACAAACTGAGGGTTCTAGAGGGGAGGGGGCTGGGGGGATGGATTAGCCTGGTGATGGGTATTAAAGAGGGCACATACTGAATGGAGCACTGGATGTTATACGCAAACAATGAATCATGGAGCACTACATCAAAAACTAATGATGTAATGTATGGTGATTAACATAATAAACAAACCAAAAAAAGCCTTTTCTTGTTCAAGTGGGTAAAATCAAATTGGCAAAGATCTTTGACAACCAGTGATTCTGGGTAGAGACTATAGTGATGGAAACAATAAAATTATGAGACCATAAAGTTATGCTGGGAGCAGATGTCAAAGCAAAAAAGGAATCAAGACAGAGAATTCTGGCTTACCATTTCATGCCTTGGGAAAGCACCAAACAAACCAAGTCCAAGCACAAATCAATAAAAAACTAAGATGGGACTAAAAGCATAATTTGGATGACAACATTACCTAAAACTGACTGTAAGAAAGAGGCAAAGGGGAGAAGGTAAAGGAAGAAAGAGTAAAAAGATGGTATATCACTGTTAGTATATCCTCCCTGACTCGGAAATTTCAAAAAAAAATCACAACTATATGGACCCTTTAGGGAATGTGTTAGTATGTATAATAATAGAGTTTTCCAGATGATGGAAAGATAATTAAGTAAACAAGTTAGATTTATGTGAACGAAGAATAAATAAGTTCTATATCATGGCATCAATGAACTTCCTATGAATAAAATTCCATGTGCTTTTGGTAGATATTGTGACATATTTTAGCCAAAATTCTATAGGCATAGTTACTAATTGTTATCATTTGCTTGGTGGGTAACATCATCAAAACTTGCTTTATGGTATGGAGAGATGTTCTGGTGTTAGTTTTTGAATAGCATTGTTCCTTAGATCATTATTCTTTAATGCCAATTCAGAAAGGATTTGTCAAACCTTATTGAAAAAAATGACTCTATTACAGTATGTTAACTTTCATCTAGGTTCAAATCCTTGCTCTACCACTTACTATGTGATCATAGATAGATAACTTAAACTCTCTGTCCTTCAGCTTTCTCAATTGTAAAATGGCATTAACAATTGTCCTTGCCAATATGGCTATGTGAGAATTAAATGATTTTTGATACATAAAGTAATTGGAACAATGTCTGGCACAAAGTAAGTATTAACAGTAAGTATATAATTATTATTAATTTTTAAAATTGTGTTATACAAAATATTGGGATATAATTGTATGATATTTGGTAACAAAATAAAAAAATAAGAAATAATGTTGACTAAGTACATAGACTTAAATTAAAGGCTTTTTAAGTAAAAACAAACTGCAAATTACATAAAATCTTTAGGTCAAAATATCTTTAATAATACAAACATTAAAGTAATGTCCTTTTATGAGGAGGCAGAAACATCCTAAACACCATCATTTAGTGAGAACTCTTAGCCTACCATGGAACTTGGCAGCAAGAGAAAAATAGGATATAATTATATATATTCTAGCATTCACCATTACTTCTTTGTTTATGCTATAGATTATATCAAATCTAAACCTAAAATGGAAGAAGCCAAAAGCCAAAGTTTGGAGGAAGACTTTGAAGGACAGGCCACACATACAGGTATGCAAATCCAAAGAAAAAAAAATCATTAAGTTAAAATTAAATGTGGATATCTCTAATGTTCTTACTGCCCTTATTGAGTATGAAATTTAAGTAACATCTTTGAATGGTTTGATGGAATCATCTAAAAAATATTTGAGTGGGAAAATTAATGTGAAATCAAATACTCTTAAAGTAGTTTTATTTAGATGTCAAAGAATGAGAAAAACACTAATTATTGAGAAATTCTTAATACCCAACTATCATAAGCCCTCTTCTACATTATAATTAAGCTCTTTCCTCTCTAATTTCCCCGACTATGATCTTTCCTTGCAATTGTAAACAATAGTAGACAAAAAGGTAAATAGTTTTTAATTTTAATTTTTTGAATCTGAAGAAAATAAAGAAATGATAAAACATTCTTAAATCAAATGGATTTCAGCATTCCTCTAGAAACACTGACTTCAATTCATTTCATCCAGAGCCTGTTTTCCTAATCTGTTAAATTGTATGGGACTGTATATATGCCACTACTGAGTTTAAAAATCAAATAGCATGTCAGTTTAAAAGTTTAGTTTGTACCTCTTAAGCCTCTTCATTTATTTTGTATACCTGCAACTAGAATAATATTGTATACCAACTATACTTCCGTTAAAAAATAAATAACATTAAAAAAAATAAATAAAAATAACAGTTTAGGGTTTTTAACTCTATTGAATCTTATTAAACTAATATTTTCCCCTCTCTTTTAATAATACGAAATGGACTCTTTAAATTTAGCCAAAGAGTTGAATGAATTCACATGAGTACTAGACACAATGCATGGGAGTTCATTTTATTATTTTATTTTATTTTATTTTATTTTATTTATTTAAGAGAGAGAGCAAACATGAGCAGGGGTAGGGGCAGAGGGAGAGGGACAAGCCCGACTGCCCACTGAGCAGAGAGCCCCACCTGGGCTTGATTCCAGGACCTGAAGATCATGACCTGAGCCAAAGGCAGATGCTTAACCAACTGAGCCACCCAGGTGCCCCAGGAATTCATTTTATAACAACAGTGTGAAGAGTACCTTTCTAAGTATGACAGAACCAAGAAACCATAGAGGAAGATTGATAAATTCAGCTATAAAAATGAGGGAGGGAAGGAAGGAAGGAAAGAAATGTCTGTTGCTAGGTCATCAGTAGCAAATTTCAAAAAACATTTGACAAACTGGGGGAAACCAGCTGCAATTCAATTGACAAAGGGTTAATTTCCTAATAAATACTGAAAGTTCCTACAAATCAATAAGAAAAATCACAACAATCAAATGGAGAAATGAGCAAAAGATAGGTCAGAAAAAATAGCACTTATGGAGTTAGTACTATAGTGAGATACAGTTTTTTCACACTGTAAAAGTAAAAAGTTTAATAAGACACTTTGAAAAGAGGCATACTCATACATTACTGGTAGGAGTGTAAACTAGTACAACCTCCTTAAGAGTAGTTTAGCAATATCAAAATTAGAAATATATATACTTTTGACCAAGTGATTCTAATACAATAACCTATGGATAGACCTGCATAGATAGAAAAAAATGTATGTGCAAGGTTCTTCACTCAGGATTATATATTATAGAAGAAATGGGGAAGCAACAATATACATCAACAAGAAACTTTTTTAAGTAAATGAATATCTACACAATGTAATACCATGCCTCCATTTTTTTAAAAAACGGAAGAATCTCTTTATGCATGTATATGAAAAAAAATCTCTGAGATATATTATGAATTAAGAAAAGCAAGGTGAGAAAAAGTGTAAAAAAAAACTTGTAAAAAAAAAAGAGAAAAAAGATTCTCTTTTCTACACATATAAACATATGCAATGCATATTTTGTATAAACAGAAAACATATCTGGAAGATGAAGACAATACAAGTAAACAGAAAACAATGAACATAATTTTAATATAAGTAACTTTATATTAAAAGTATATATTAGATATTAGATAAATTAAGAAATTGTTAAGAAATATGTGGAAGAAAGAGAATACATCCACACATATAATATTAAAGGTATAGATATGGCTAATCTTTAGTGAAGGATATTTAAAACTCCATATTTCCAAGGATTTAGGCCTTCTAAGCACTTTTATCATTTATCAGGACAACTGAACATCTGAATTCCAGTTGGATCATCCTTGACTTAGTTTTTCCTAATCTGCAAATCCCATCCTCTCTCCATTTGTAAAAGGTTCTTAGAATCTTTTTTTTTTTTTTTGACAGAGAGAGACAGCAAGAGAGGGAACACAAGCAGGGGGAGTGGGAGAGGGAGAAGCAGACTTCCCACCAAGCAGGGAGTCTGATGCAGGGCTCGATCCCAGGACCCTGGAACCATGACCTGAGCCGAAGGCAGATGCTTAATGACTGAGCCACCCAGGCATCCCAAAGATTCTTAAAAGGAATTGGATGATTATGTAATAATTTTCTTAAAGCCATTTTAGTTCTGTTATTTGAGGTCAGGTCTTCTCTAACTGGTTGTCTTGTATGTGATATTGTTGTTGTTTTCTGGATCTTGATATCACTTCAGTTTGTTTCCCCAATAATCTCAGTGTCCCTGCTAATAGTGTGATGCCAATTCTAGATTATTGCTGAAGCTTCCTTCTTATTTAATAAAAGTGCTATTTTTCTAAAATTCTAGTTCCCCTCTACATTCTAATGTTTTAATATCTTTACCCTCAAATTTTGCCAATAGTTGAAAGTATGTAATTTGTATTTTCATTAATGTAGATGTTTCAGAGAAATTCTTAGCCAAAACCCATTTAACAAGATTAATGTGGGAAAACATTTTTATGAGCAGGGCAGTCAGACATTTCTAGCCCAAACAAGATGTTTTTTTATGATACAGAAGATGACAAGTCTATTCCAGTGATGATACTTACACAAATCTCAATTGTATAAATAGTTGTTTTGAAAATAGAGAGGCAAACGATTTGTTTTTTCTTTTATTCCAGGACCCAAAGGAGTAATAAATGATTGGAGAAAGTTTAAATTAGAGAGTGAAGACAGTGATTCAGTTCCACCTAGAAAGAAGGAGATTCTCAGACAAATGTCTTCTCCTCAGAGTAGAGATGACAAAGACTCAAAAGAAAGATTCAGCAGAAAGGTAAGGAAAAATCAATAGTAAATAACTTACAATGTGTTTTTAGTTTAAATGACTCTAAAGAATCACTTTAGAGATATAAAATAGATATATTTCAAAAATATTTATTATACTATTGTTTATGTTGGCAAAAAAAAAAAAAA